CTCGTACACCTGGCCATCTGATGATGATCGGATAACCATCTGATTTGAGTCACACATCCCCAATCACGAACCGTGATTGTGGATCCCGAGTCGTCTGTCCGTCATACGAAAATACCTTTCTGACATCGAAAGGGGTTCTTTGAAACAGTAGCGTTAAGGTTTTTGCAAATTCGTACTTGGGGGGGGGTTGGATTTTTTTGGGGGGTCGGATCTTTGGATCTTTAGGGGGGTGCGATCTTCTTGTCATCTTCCGAGTGGAGATTGGGAGGAAGCACCAACTTTCACCTTTCATCGCCAACATCCAACGTCCAACCATTCGATAGTAGGCTCTGACTCGACTCCTCCATCAAAGGGAAAGGAGGCTTCAGTTTGGTTCCCAGCCAAGCAGAAAACACCAGGAGAACAACAAGCTAGCTAGACTAGACTGTTCGCAACAGAGAACACAAGCGACCATCTTCCATTGAACTTACTTGTCTCTGAGTATATTAACCAACAACAACAACAAAAAGAAACGAACATGGCAACGACAAGCAGTACAAGGATGGCAACAATAATGATGAGACAAAGCGGCATCTTTCGTTGTTCTTGGATAGTTCCAGTACGACAACACACTCCTCGTCGATCCCATTACACATACTCATCGCCCGGCCAATTTGACACTACACCTTCTGTCTTGACACAGGTTTGGAAGAACCGTGATTTTCGACAACGCGGCTTCACTGTGGGCATTGGAGGACCTGTGGGATCCGGCAAGACGGCATTGACATTGAAACTACTCCAAACCTGGCAGGCATTGCCGTTGTCTAGTGTAAACCTGAATTTGGGGGTCGTCACCAATGACATTTTTACCCAAGAAGATGCCGAATTCTTGACGCGCCATAAAGCACTCCCCGCCGACCGCATCAAAGCCGTGGAAACGGGAGGATGTCCTCATGCCGCCATTCGAGAAGACGTTAGTTCCAATTTGACTGCCCTCGAACAATTGACACAACAATCTTCTTCTTCTAGTAGTATTCCGCCGTTGCTATTGTGCGAATCGGGAGGTGACAATTTGGCGGCCAACTTTTCCCGTGAATTGGCCGATTTGACCATTTACGTCATTGATGTCGCTGGTGGTGACAAGGTACCTCGCAAGGGTGGACCGGGAATCACACAGTCGGATCTATTGGTCATTAACAAAATTGATTTGGCCGATGCCGTCGGCAGTGATTTGGGGATCATGGAACGAGATGCCAACTTGATGCGGGCGCCGGTAGTAGTAGGAGCCGGTGGTCAAGTACCTGGGCCCACCATCTTTTGTTCCGTCAAACACAACATTCAAGTACCTGAAATATCAGATTTTATTCTCGGCATGTACGAGACGGCGACCGGGGTCACACTGGCGGGTGCGGCGGATCATGATCATTGAGGAGAATTATTTAAAAAAATTAGTTAAAAAGAAAACACATCTCTTTTGATATCATTTATTTTGGCAGGAAGAGCAGTCAAGCAGTCACGACGCATTGTGAGACCTAGCTAGTGTGGCAAGCATCCCAGTTTCACATTGCCTTTAGCCTAATGGTTTGTAAACTGACATGACAGTTGCGGCGTTTGGCCTGTTTTGGATTCTAACGACGTGGTCCCCCACCGTGTGCTTTGGTAGCCCCTCGAAGGGCGACAATGTTACGCCCTCGACAGACGAGGTACCACTGCCAAGCGCTAGCAATCCAATAGACTCCTCTGGAGCCATGGATGGCGGCACTTTCAGCTCCAGTACCTGATTGTGTTCCGTATGGTAGCTAGATCTACACTATCCCGAGCACGACGACGACGACGCTACCCAGGAACACAGTGATAAGCAAGATGCAATAGTTGAGAAAGCTAAAATAGGAAAGAATGCAGCCGCGAAGGCAACGCGGCGTAAGGCGGCAGGGAAGCCGTCTGGTAGATATCTAATGGTTGCAGTCGGTCGTCGACTCGGTCGAAGGGCAGCCTCGCAAAAGACGGAAACGTCGGGGAAGGAACAATCGCTCTCAAAATCTGTGCGTTTGTCTCTCTCTCTCTTCTCTTGAGTACGTACTCTTCTTTTCTCGTTCCTACCATTGTACATCAGCGTCGTATGCCCGTGTGTTTCCTTACTCGTCCAATCCGTCCGACAAGAGACCCTCCAACGCCCTGGCACATGCTCGCAAGACTTCCGTGGCGTGATTTTCGTCATCGTCGTCTTCGGGTTCCAGCTTGGTGCGACTGGTGCGAATATTCATGTCTTCGCCACCGTACCGCAAAAAGATTTCTACGGGTGGCCCCGTCCATTCCATGGCGACGGGATCGACCAGTTTGGCAAATTGTTTGGCGACACGACGGGGATGATCTCGCGCTTCGTCAAATCCCGCCACGACGCCGCCTTCCAAACGCAACTTGGCAATGTGCGAGTCGCGTGCCACTTCTTGGAGCAATTTGAGAATGGAAAAGACGGGGAGCATGGAATGAATCTCGAGTTTGGTTTTGAAGCGAATGGGAAGGGCGTACTTGAGGCGTCGCACGGCAAGGAGACGATTCAAATCGGCTTGGAATTGATGTTTCTTGTCGAGGTACTGTTTGTAGTCGCGGGCCGTACTGATGCAGCCAATAAAGGTAATGGCTTCCCACGGGCGCTTGACAAAGGTCATTTGGATGTGTTCCTCTTCCTCGTCTTCTCCTTCTTCGCCAGCAGTGATGAGAGTGGGTATATCATGAGTGGGAATGGGTCGTCCGCGCAACGTCTTGTTTTTGTCGGCAAGTTCCATGGACGCATCGACCAACATGACCTTGGCTGTCTGTAGTAACTTGGCGTCATTGCGTTCAATGATATCTTCAAAGGTCAAATTGTAAATCTCGCCATTTTCGGCCACGGCCTTGAATTCTTCCAGAATGAATTCTCGCGTGTAGAGGTCGGAGCAAAATACCGTCTTGTCAAAGACTTCCTCGGGAGATTGCACCTGGTGCGGATACGTGTTGGCTCTCTTTGTGGGGCTGTGCTTCTTCTTATCACGATTGCGGCTGCGAGGGCCGCCGCTGTGGGGCTTCTTTTTGGGGCCGTAATTGCCGCTCAGGGTTTGTCTGCAATGGAAAACAAACAGCGGATAGATAATGGTGAGGGGGTATCGGTATACGTACCGTAGAGGAGAAGCATCTTAACAAACAAACACCATGGGTAACTTACTTGAGGAAATACATGGTTGCAAGGCAGATGAAGTCCAACAAGGAAAGGCAAGAGAGGGTTTGGAGATTGGACAGAGCCAAAAATGAGGGCAGAAATCAAACCGCTGGTGGTACCACTGAGTATACCGGTGGCAAGATCCGTTGAGCTCGGTTTTCGATGCGGAAAAAATTTAAAATGAAACATCAACCTGCATTTAGAGCTTTTGCGGGACGGTACCGGTACCGGTACCAGACTGAAGTTAAGTACCACTATTAAAATAGTTACTACCGTAGGAACAAAAGGGAAAGGTCACCGGTACTACCCTTGCGACTTCTTGTACTGAGCTTAAGAGTAGGCATCAATTGATTTATGGTCTGCTTTCCTTTGGCAAAATGATGTTGCCCCAGCACTACTCTTCCAAGTTGCGTGTGAACTTGCGTGAAGTGTTGAAGTGATTTAAAAGCTAATCACCTGTTATTACAACACACGTTTTAAGAGTGTCTTGTTGGCGAGACCTGCCTCTAAGGCTTCAGCTCTTCTACTCTGAGATCTCTAGAGAAACAGTCGCGCGTCGCGCAGTCGCCATCTCACAGAGTTGGCGCAGCAAGGGCATGCTCTTGGAATGTTTCCGTTGTGTGATTGGATCTTCTTCCGCATCGAAATTCGAGACGTAAGCACCTTATACAGTAGCTAGCTAGACTGGTGGTGGGACAGAGTACAACGCAACAAAATAAATGTCAACTGAAGATGATGATATTATGGAAGATGATCCAAAGCCCGAAGCAGCATTTGAAGATATTGATAAATCAGATCTTATAACTTTTGGAGGCAGAGGAGATGCCTACCAGGTAGAAGATTATCATTGAGTTGTGAAAAGCTAGGAGTATCTCATGCAGGCAGCCAAAGTTCATTTGGACCGTTTTGGTAAAGCTTTGAGGGATGCGCCCCAAGAAAAATACTACCTTTCAGCCTGCTGCAAAGAAATATTAAATAGATCAAGTTATCATTAATAGTACCAGTAACTGCTACAAGTTCCTTACCGGAAGCAAGCAGCCAGCCAATTCACCTGGCCACTACTAGAGCGTCTAGTGAAGAAACGGGGGTTTAGCTAGTACCTTATTAGAGGGGAAGATGTGGTCTCCGAGAAACAGGAAGCTTTCCCCTAGCTAGTACATCATGTTTCATGTGGCTGGTGAACCTCAATGCAAAGTACCGGTGACGGCGTGACGGCGTTTGGATCGATCAGCTGTGCACGCGACTTCTGCCTTCACGGCAAGGAAGTTGTTACTCGGGAAGGAAATAGCTGCCAATCCAGCGCGTGGGTTTCTTGGAGTATCCGGTACTGCCTCTTCAATCTTCAATGAATTCCTCCCCTTGCTTTCTTTCAAGTGCATACAGGCAGGCAGGCCAGCCATGGGGAGGGCTCTAGCAACTCGACAAGAGAAACAAACGGGAAACTTCTCTAGCAGCTACTAAGAAGGTTTCTACTGTGTCCAAGATCCAATCCTCCACCTCCAAGTCTGGGTTTGTAGATTGCCTTGCCACCAACAAAGTGATACATTTACGAATGTCAGCGTCGAAAGGAGGCGCCAACTCCCTCTCCTTTTGAAATGCGAGCCCCAAAGAGCTTCGCTTCGCTTTGCTTTGAGACGTGGATACTGTCATGCATCCAACCAAGGGGAGAAAACAAGAGAAACCGACGAAACGAAAGAGCTTGGTGGATTGATGTTGGATGAATTCATAGCAACGTTCACTCAATACAATTACAGAAACAACACGATAACAGTGTACGCAAATTCCCAAATGCGGATCCTTGCCATCTTGTTTCTGGGTATTACGGCTCAGGCTGTGAGCTGTGAAGTCGCGAAATCAGGAGCGAGGACCTTGCAAGCAACTGGTCAAGGACATCAACCCAGGTAGCTCCAACAGCTATCCTTTTGGCTACCAGAAGGGAGAGACCAGGTGATCTTTACAAGCGATGATAGCAATGGTAGACAACCGTGGATATCCAATGCAACAGAAGCTGGAACGATGCGAATGGGGTCTGCCAGAATCAATCCACGGCGATGGCGCTACCATGGTGGGGTTTGGTCTTCGTGGCATTTCTCGGGATTACCTCTACTTTCCGTGCGGGCAGCCCATGCTTTGGAGATGCAATCTGCTACAACGACATTGAACCTATCCGATTCTTTGGAGAGAGCGAAACGATAAGAAGCCTGGCAGCCTGGAAAGACAGTCTCTATTTCACAGTCGACTCAGCTTGTAGGTGCGGAGGCGCATTCAACAAGGCGTGTCATGGATTTCCCAGGGGTTGACTACTACGTGAAAGCGAAAAATTTCTCTGGATATCCCCTGTTTGTCTCAGTCCGAGATGGCGATACTTCTCAATTGTGGGCACTGTATAAGGATTTGTCTACTATGGTCGAAACGAGCAATGATCCGGGCAATGCAAACTTCAATCGAGTCCGGCTCTCCGGTATCACCACAATGGAACGCACCGCAGTGGTATTGGGTGACTCGGTGATTTTTGTGTCGGGCCAGTTGTTTGTGTCGGGCCAGGGCAATGAATTGTCGACGACTGATGGAACACCCAAGAGAACCTATTCTTTCTTCGATCCCAGCAATTATTATGACACGACCTATCCTGGCCGGGTCCGGTCATGCCGCACGAGCCTGTTGGGAAGAGGGCCCCTCAGAACTGGGCAGATGGTGTTTAAGGTCAGGGACTTCTGGTCCTCAAATTTTCTGTTTGTCACGGATGAAGAGTTGCGTGACATAGGAATTGTCGGAGTCTTGCCGCAGTCTACCACGTTGACTTTGGGGTAAAACTGGGTGATCGGTATGTGTTCTTTTTGTCGGCCAATTACGAGTTGTGGACAACCGACGGCACAGCCGCAAACACCCACATGTTTTATCAGTTCTAGGGCTGTGTAGGGGTTATTGGGCTTTTCAGGAAGATGCTGGCTACTCTGTGAACCACCGCCGGAAAAGAACCACCACCGGAAACTAACAAATAACTAAAAACCCTTAACCCTAAAACATCCGGTGGTGATTCCATTTTTCTACGGGCTTCTACACAAAATCTACGTTTTCCGGTGGTGGTTCACACAGTAGCTGGGGACATGCTCTTTGCAAATCGCTTCGATGGGGATGTTTGGATCACTGACGGGACCGCTGAGGGTACAATCCTCGCCACAGAAGGCCCGAGCGTTGGTGTTTTGACGCCGTTTACTTATTTGCTCCCCACCTTAGAGTTTCTTAGTGCGGACGAAACACTCGTGTCCAGAGACTCTAACGGGACGGGAGTTGAGCTATTGAAGGCAACAGTTCCCTACACGAGCACAAATCCAACCAATGAGGATGGAACCAACGAAACCTCAACAGTCACAGCCAAGAGCGCTTCCTTTACGCCTCCGTGGTGCATTTCCTTTATCTGCTGGTAGATTAGCCGACCAGACGTACACCGGTACTTGTTTTAGCCTGGATACATAATATAGCGTGCATGCAGCAATAGCAGAGCTAGCTAGCTAGCTGCTAAGGTGTGGATCGGTAAATGTAGGCTTGGAATATTTTGGTTCCTCTTGTTTTGGCCTTGGACTGCCTGCTCTGGCTCTAAGGGCTGCGACTAGTGCATTTTGCTCCTGAAAGGTGCTGTCGTCTGTGCTGGCATGCGGCGATGGGTTTTGGGCGCTCGTCGGTGAAGCTGCTTGTTGTGCGGACTGTAATGTGAGAGCGTTTGTTTCTGAAACAATTGGCGGAGGACTTTCCATTCTTCGGTCTTCGTACGCCACCAGGGGCACCGTTGCATCTCCCAACGTGATCTGATCCATTAGCTGTGAAAAGAAAGCTCCAAGAGACTTGTACCAAGGCCGTTGCAAGTGCACGTTATCCCGGTGATCATAGTGCTGTGATGCATCAAAGACATCAATAATGGTCAACCTTTGCTTCGGAAGCACCTTTGTATTTAGCAACATTTGATGGACAGCCTGGTTCCACTCCCTGGTTCTTTCCACTGTTTGGGGAGCATAGAAATAAGCTGGATCAGTGTCATTCTGACGCTTTGGAGCCGTACTGTGAATCCAAACAACATGTGAACAAGTGGGAGCAATATCATAGGTCTTGTCTAACCGTTCTTGCTCTTCCGCATCATTCGCTGGAGGCAGCAGCAGCAGTGACAAGAACCATTCCAGATTGGTAAGATACTGCGGCAACGCGATGCTGGGAATGGCCATGTCATGGACGCCCATACCAACAACACAGACTGGAGGACCACCAAAGGATTGCATTACCCATGGATCTGCATTGTATTGTTGGTGCAGAAACGAAGCAAAGTTCTCTTGTGTGGTCTTGTGTTGTGGTGTCTGAAGCTCGACGTCTCGTGCAAAATCAATAGAGAAGTAGCCTCCGTATACTTGGTTCTGCTGAGTAGTCATAGGGCTGGGTTTGTCGCTGTTGGTGTTGGTGGGCATACTCCTGGGCAAACGACATTCTTCCGATGATTCATGCTGCCGTCTTTGACAAACGGAATAAAGCGAATTGCATCCACCGTCACCACAATCTTCGCAATTGGGAAAGTAGCATCCGTACGCTACAGGACCTTCTCCAAGAGCAACATTTGGAGGATTCCATTGTTCCGGGTTCGTACATGTAGCCGGGTGAAGGAAGTCTTGATTCAAACGGCATCGACTGTGGTAGCGGTTGTTGCATTCCAAGAGTGCGGGACAGTGGGCTTCCATTTGCTTCGCAGTCAAGAGTTTGTCTTTCAAATCTGATCCCAGATAGAGATTCCGCATTGTTCTGTCACCTATCAATATCCACCTCCGAGGCACTGCTGATGGGAATTGGGTGCTGGTGGAGCCTAGAATTCGATCTTGCAGCATTCTAGTACATGTGTCATTGTCATATGCCGAGCCTTGCAAGTCGAATGGGTCTGTCTCAGAGGGAGCCCACGTGCAGTTCTCAACATGGTGGTTTAGATCGTGGGGCACACTCTGGCATTTTCGTCTCTGGGCATCTTGAACTCTTTCTGGCCCTATCGCTGCTGGGTAAAGCAATGCCAAGATACCAAGACTAGTTATGGCTACCCGGAACTTCCATGGCGAGCGTCTCGCAACCAACAATTTGAACCATCTCACCGACATCTCAATGCTTGGTCTTTGCTTAGTCTTCATCTCGGGCTGTTTGTTGGGATATACAAAGCAGAGGGCTCCAAAGAGGGATGCGATGGATACGTTGAAAGACAAAATTTCATTGTGCGAATCGAATCGAATCGAATCGAATCGAATCAAATCAAATCAAATCGAATCGAATCAAGTTAGGAGCCTCATTCATGCGAAACATGGTCGACTGCGCAGCTACCGTTGTTGCGATTTGTGATTCTAAAGTACATGCATGGTGGGGAAATTTTCTACAGATGATGTGGGAAGGGCAACTATCACCGTTCTTTGGAGTCACTTCAGTACTGGTACAGAAGTGATCCTCATAATGCCTTGAACAGAAACTACTCGGTGCGCTGGCTGCTACAGCTACGGTACCAGTTAGGGCGTCAGATAGCGTAGAATACAGAAAAGTACCGTACCTATACATTATCTTTTGCAGCATAAGATCTTGTTTTTGTGCAAAGGAGCGCCCAGCCACAACTATTTTCAACCACACCAAACATCGATCACAGAAAAAGAAAACAACTTCAATGATGCCAAATCATCTTCATGATTCGGCGACGCTTGCGTGGTTGGGAGCTGCTGAACCAATCTGCTACGTTGTTGCACGCCGATGATTTCGGTGCCATTGCCGACGCCTCACGATTCAAAGTTAGCGTACTGCCCCTGTGAAGCTCATTTTTGCCTTGGACTGATGTCGGAGCGCCGTTTCCTGGACGAGGGAGTCTTTGAGTCGCAAAGTCTGTGACGTCTGCCAAGATGAAAGCAGGCCTCTTCCTGTCTACATGGCACCGCTCGAAGAGTTTGCATGTGTTGCGCGAAATTGATTGGACGGCTGCGGAGGGATCGTCGCAGGAAGAATCAGTGGATGCAGAATCAATGGAAACGATTGATGATGAAGATGAAACCGTCGTCATAGTGGCCGTGGTCGCGGTACTGACGTTATGGGTTTCATCCTCTTCTGCCGGATCAGGCGCATCGGAAGGAGTTGTAGTTGGTCGCAGAGAAGGCCTTGCTGTATCGACACGAGATGGACCGGCAAACTTGAAGCAAGTATCGCTGCTTTGTTCGTCACACAAGTGAGCCCCCGACGACAAGGAGGGGGGGGCACCACCAACCTGAAATTGTAGCACTCCCTTGCTGCCTTTTGTCGTTGTTACCACGGGGGAGGAGGATGAAGGCGGGGATGAGGATACCATCATGATTCTTTTGGCTCGGACAAAAAAGTAATCTTCTGAGGTTGTAAGATGGATAGCTTTGGCAAGGCACTACCGAAACTACAATGTCTAGAAGGCGAGGCTTGAGGTTAGTTGCCATGTCTGTCTTCTTTTAAAAGGAACGGAGGGAAATACCACTCGATGCTTACCTGAACTGGTGCTGTCTACCGGTACTTGCTTCGAATAGTCGGCTACGCTGAACAAAGCAATGATGAAGGTGCTGTTGCTTTGGCAAATGAAAGGTGAACGAAAAAGTGAGACTGATCTCTCCCATACTTTTCCCTTCTTTGACGGGAAACAGGAGATCGCGTTGTTCTGATTGTGGGTCATCGATTGATTCAGTATCCAGAAAAGAATCTTTTTGGGCTTTCAGCTATCTAGCCGACTGTGAGCTCCACTGCAGCCACGAGAGTCACTCGCAGGGCCAGGCATGGGATCTTGTCGATTGTGGATCTCGTTAGGACGAAGATCTTTCAAGATGACCTTCGGACCTTGGAGAGCCAGCCATTCACAGATCGACTTAATTAATTGAAGCCTTTTTCTCGATTCCCACCACCAGCTGACAAAAAGCAGCCCAACACAGTCATGCTACGGTACCACTAGCTAGCTCGAGCTGCAGCAGTAGTAATTCTGCGGATACACAGTAGAGATCAAGCTCCGTCTAGAATTGATTGAATTGATTGAATTGAATCGAATCGAATCGAATCATTCATCATGTTATCCATTTGATGACATACTTGCAACGCAGCCTGGAAGGAAGGAAGGAAGCAGTCGAGTCCACTGTCGCATCCTCCTCGAGTCGATGCCCTCTGTGGTGCCAATTGGCGTTACCTTCAATAATCCAACCACAACGAATGAATCCAAGTACTGGCACGCGGCATATCTTCTAGAGGAGTAAATGATGCCTCAGCTTCTCATTCGGTCAGCTTTGTGCAACTTTCGAGTTGCTCTGTCTGAATTGTGGTCATTGTGGTGAGAGCTGGTTCCTCGAGTTATCCGAGAGAAGAAGTCAACGTATCTTTTCTGTCGCTCGCTCGCGTTCAGTCATTATTGGGTCCGAGGATACCTGATACCCAAAATAATAATGTCAAGGGAGTGAATGAAGGCCCGATAGCTATTGGTTGTTGCAGTACTACGTACCGGTAGCCACAGGGGGCGACAAAGCCGACAATTCTTAATCCTCAGCCAGCCATCGACCAGCCATCGACCAGACAGCCCTGTCAAGCGTTAATGGAATATCTGAACAATAACCAGCCACATGCGCGCCGTGTAATTTTTGCGGCACAGTACTGTACCGAGTCTAGCTAGCTAGTTAGGGCCACTCCAAGAAGCGAAGCGTTAGTAGCCTCCTTGAAGGGAAGGCAGCTTGCATAATCGCTCCTGACTATTGCTAGCTAGTCTAGGTAGAGCCACCCAGCCAGCAGCCACCAACCAAAACGAATCGAATCGAATGGACCCGGACGACTCATCCTTCGATCAAGCTAGCCAGTCACATACATGTCTGGCCACTCCAGGTAGCAAGCTTCCCCTCCAGGTTGCTTGCAAGCAATCGGATAGCTCGGGCATCTCACCGAAAGATCATTGCTTGAAGCGAAAGGTACGAGCTTTAACTTGCTTGTCCTGGAACTGGCAGACGGAAGTGGTAACAGTATGTGTTTACCATGCTGCAGGTGCCCCAAGCCTTGAGAGGCTCCTCATGCCTCAACCGCAGCCATCAACAGTTTGCTAGGTTTTATAGTAGCAAAATCTATGCCTAAGTGTGATCTTTCGCAGCTGTGTTGGCTAACTCGCGCCCTAACTCCGTGTTGACGGCCAAGATTTTGTGCCAGCTGCAAGCTGTCAAGAGCATCCACAATGGCATCAGACAGCAGCAAACAAACAAGGAGCGGGTGATCCACAAACAAAGGAATCGAATATTGTCCTCTCTAGCTAGTAGCTGTGTTGCTACAGTATTGTGTGATTGTCCTTCTCTCAAGTTGAAGTGAACGAGCTGGCTGTGATTGTCAAAAGCCAAGAGTTCCTGAAGTAAAACGTACCATGAGCAACAGTAGCAGCAACAAGTACGACGGCGGTCCATTGGATTCGTTGAACGACGCATTGATCAATACATGGGTGCGTCAATTGAAAGCCGAATTGCCCGAGAATGTAGAACGATCGCGGCAATTGAGCAATTTGCCGACTACGGATGACACTACTAGTAGTAGTAATCGCCACAAACGTCGCGTCTTGAATGGCCACTACGTCTTGGTGGAACCGACGGGGTTGCCACAACCCAAACTGGTCATTGTGAGCAAAGATGTCGCGCAAAACTTACTCGGATTGACGCCCGCACAAATCGAATCGGAAGACTTTGTCCAGTTCGTATCGGGCAATGTGACGCTGCAAGAAAGCTGGGCGACTCCGTACGCACTGAGTATCATGGGAGAACGCTACACCAACAATTGTCCCTTTGGCGATGGCACGGGATATGGAGATGGACGGGCCATTAGTATTGGAGAGGTCTCTTCCAACAACACTGCCAATAATACTAGTGTGCAGGGCTACGAACTACAACTCAAAGGAGCCGGCAAAACCCCATTTCATCGCGGCGCCGATGGCCGGGCCGTATTGCGCTCCAGTGTCCGTGAATTCTTGGCGTGCGAAGCCATGCATTGGTTGGGTGTCGCCACGACGCGGGCTCTGAGTTTAGTAGTATCGCAAACGGAAACCGTCCAACGACCGTGGTATTCGGATAGTGTGACACTGCAAATCCCAAACATGGACGATCCCCGGCTCGAACAATTCCCACCCGCTCAACGCAAAGCCATTTTACGATCCATGCGCAATCAAAAAGCCGATCCCAATGTACTCGTCAGTGAAGCGTGTGCCATTACCTGTCGCGTCGCTCCGTCGTTTGTGCGAGTGGGACACATTGATCTCATGGCACGGCGGGCTATCAAAACCAAAGACGCTGTCACTACAACCAAATACGACACGACATCCATTCATTGGCAGGAATATCAAGATTTGATTTGGCATGCGTGTTATCGAGAATTCCACAAGGATGCCTATGCACCCTTCTTTCCACAACACGACATTGTCAGTGCGGCCAATGTACTACTGGAGAAATCCATGTTCAAGATTGCCACCATGGTTGGAAATTGGGTCCGCGTCGGATTCGTCCAGGGAAATTTCAATGCCGACAATTGCTTGATTGGTGGATATACCATGGATTATGGACCCTTTGGATTCGTCGAAGAATACAGTCCCGTCTATGCCAAATGGACCGGATCCGGACAACACTACGGATTCCTCAATCAACCCATTGCCGGATTGGCCAATTTCAATACACTCGTCGTTAGTGTGGCGCCATTGCTAGCGACATTACAAGAAAAAGACGAAAGTGTCATTGTGGAATCCTGGATGACACGCGCCAAGACGGTCTTTCAACGCACCGCCGATGAAACCTTTCGTATCAAAATGGGATTCACCAAGGAACAGCATACGGCGGACAATTTGTGGAAGGAACTGGAACCTCTTCTACGAGGCAGTCGCGTCGACTGGACGCTCTTTTGGCGACAATTGACCTATCTCATGAGAGATTTCCCCGATCTGACATCAGACGACTACGATGGCATGTTCTCCTTGTTGGAAGCTCGAGAAAAGGGCAGCAATTTTTACAATTTCGGACCCTTCTACGAAGACTTTTCTTGGGACTTGCGCAAAATGTGGGTCGATTGGATTCGTCTGTGGCGGGAAGCATGCGCGAGCACAGGAGATGGTTCGATTACGTTTTACGAACGCATGCGACAGGTCAATCCCAAATATGTGTTGCGGGAGTGGGCGTTGGCGGATGCCTACAAGGCCGCTGCCAAGGGTAATTATGCCGTCATCAAGGCATTGCACGAATTGTGTCAACACCCCTACGACGAAGGCAATGCCGAACAGGCCAAGAAATACTATCGTCGGACCCCGGAAAAGGCACAGTTTTCCGGTGGAACGGCATTCATGTCCTGATCCAGTTAAGCGTGTCAACTTTTAAGTAAGAATGCATGGCATGACACAACTGTCGAGGTTACAAAGACAGTGGCTGCCCATGAATGCATTTGACACGCGGATACAAAAAAACTTGCACAAAACTCCTTTCGGGAACGGATCTCGCCGAGTGAATGACAGAAGGAGAGTCGGTAGCACCACATTCTGTGGATGTTTAGCCTTCTCTTTCTTGACCAACTCTGCATCTGTAAGAGATCTGCTTCTGACGGACTAACTAAAAAGTATTTATCAGTCTTTCTACTAGATATCTTCTTTCTGCTTTCAACTTGTCGTCGTAGACATGTACAGTATTGGAAAGGACCCGAACATTGTTGCTGCTCGCATGTTCAACTCACGCCTTGATCGCGGCTAGAAAGAACGTGGCCGGAGTGCTTCACTGGCTGAACGCCTCTTCCCAAGAGATCAGCTAGATGTCCGGCCACAACCTTTGTTCCTTTCGAATTGATTGTTGGAACAATCCATCTGTGCATACATGAAAATGCCATGGCTTTTTCATGGCTGTTGGTCTGTCTGGCAGCCGAGTGCCAAAAAGCCGTGTTTCTGTCCACAGTGCAGTTCATCCTATCATCGCTGCTCATGATCCTCCGTCTTTTTGTTTCTCCTTGGTAATAGAAGAAGTCGGGCGTGTCTTGGCATGCTCATAGGAAGGCATGAGGGCAAATAGATTGTCGCCCTTGCGACTGCCGGAAGTTGCGGTGTTCGTAGTCGACAATCCTTCTGCGAAACCACTCTTACTGCTCGTAGTAGATCCGTCCTGACGACGACGTTGTTGCAAACGAATGGGAGTGTCATTGTAACATTGGGACGAGACATTGCGACATCCCCGCAAGTTGAGGCGTTCCAAGTGCACGGCATTTGCCACCAGTGGATTGATTCCATCATCAGAAACTCCATGGCTAAATGCCACATCCACGAGACGGAGCGACGCCGATTGTGAATTGGCCAAACCTTGGAGCATGACATTGGTGGCCACGTAGCGCAATGCAATCGATTCGAGACAACGAGTCGCCTGGAGGAGGTTCCCCACGAATTCGGTTGAGAGTTTGGTACAAGAGCTCAGATCGACTTGTCGCAGATTGTAGGCCAGTGGTGTTGCTAGCAATTGCCCATCCCGTGTTTTCCAAGTAGGACCGCCAATGGTATCTAACGATCGGCATCCATTCAGATTTAGAAATTGCAAGTGACACACTGCAACAGCGGAACATTTGCTATCGTCATCATGAGATCTAATCAAAGACCCATCTTGATTGTCGGTGTCCCTGTCGCGTCCTGGACTCTGATGAAGTATAATGTTTGGAATCAACAGTCGCTTTAACTGGCTGCATCCGTGAGCATCCAATGCGATCAGATTGGGTGATACGGCAAGGTCTGTCAAGTTGGAACATCCTCGGACCGAGACTTGTTTCAATCCCTTCAAGAGACTCAAATTGATGCGCTTGAGTTTGTTCTTCATTCCCACGCTGGTCGTTGTACTGGGATGAATGGCAGGTCCCTTGAGAGAGGGGAAATCCAATGTCAGCAGCTCTTCTTCATCTACTGCTTGGTTACAGCCACCGTCCATCATGATGGAGGAAAGTTGACCCAGGACGGCACTATTACGAGAATATTTTTGACTGCTCTGAGCAAATGTTGTCGCCATCTCTTTGGCCTGAAAACGGAGGATCTTGTCTCCTCCATCACGAGCAACAGTGCTACTAGTGCCGGTGGTACAAATATCCATTCGAGGTTCCGGCAAATGGCCCCGAGTTCGCCGTTGTCTCTTGGCAGGTTGTTTGGATTCTTCTTCTTCTTCCTCGTCATGGTTGTTGTTGCCACCACGTCGTATCCTTCTGGTACATGATGTGCGCCCTTTCATGTCCAAGTGAAACGATGCATCGCCCCTGCGATGGCGTAGCGTCATGTACAAGACAGGGTGGCTATTAGTAGTAGGGGCACTATCCACTACGGCATGATACCAGCCGCGAGAAACACAACGGGCCACCAAATATTGGGTCTCTGGATCTAGAAATTGCAGAATGACGGGCAACACATCTGCTGGAAACATCCTCTTGGCTTACTAACGGTATCTGCTACCGTAACTGGGATCAGGAAGTACACAGTGTACATCGTATCAGATTGACCATTCTTTGGGCAGCCTCTCTCGTAATCCTTCCAAAGCAAGAACGCCAACGTGAATGCTTCCAGGTTCAGAACGTGTACAAGACAAGTAAGCAGTCTGTTAGCTTCGAGTCGAGTCGAGTCTATGACCCCCAGATCTCACACATTTATCGATCTGGCACGGCTTGCTCTCCACGTGCTTCAACGCTCGATAATCAGTTAGCCAAAGGCCAGTCGCTAAATTCACCCGAACACCCCTGAGCGTTTAAGGAGTACCAAGGTAGCCTAGTCTTATATGTTTAGATCTATTATCCAAGAGGGTTCCACGCTGAGGAGTGTTTGTGATTTTCGCCAAAGGTATTTGTTGACGGTTTATTTGTCTCTATTCGGAAGCATTCGGAAGGCGATTATTCGAAAAATTCGTGAAATCGGAACCCAGAAATCATGTGACAACGGTCAAATCAATCCCAGATTGCCCGTCTTTGGAAATTTCAATTCGTGAATCCCATTCTTATACCATGTGATACAGTAGAGAGGGTGTGCGATTTTTCTAAAGAGACGTAAAACCAATACGAACAAACCGTTAACATGCAGTCTAAGAGAAACCAAACTGTTGGCTCTTGTTTGTCAACAACTCCATCCAACCACCTCCGACAACAGCAATGCCACTCCAATCCTCATTATTCCTGCTTTCGAAACCCAAAAAGGTAAGCCGAAGCTATGGTGTTTTCTCCGCTCCTTCTGTTGTTGATTGTCATTGCTTTCTTTTGATTTCATCTAACCCTCTTTCCTTTGTTTTGGTTTGATCAAGATGGCATCCAACCGCTCCATGAGGAGTACCTCGAGTTCCAGCAGTGCGAACAAGATGATGAAGAGCCGCCTCCCTTTGTTGCCGCATTTCATGATGGTCGCTACAAGAGCTTCGCTTCATGCAGTATTGCACTGACTTCCCCTTGCCCGCCAGGCACACCTGTTCTGGGTGCAACAACTACCTTGCCACCCCATCTGGTGAAACCGATCCTCTTGGTACCAAGCGCGCTTCCACCCACAAGAGCCATGCATACCAGTGCCGCCAACATTGGAAGGTTTGTGGTACCGCCGCAGCTGTTCTTGTCCAAGAATATGTCAACACCAACATGGCAATGTCAGCCGCTACCTTGTCAATGAAGACCCATCTCCTGTTGCATGTACCACCAAGCGTTCTCTTGAGACCACTCCTGTTGAACCGATGGTGACGGATATTGTGACGGCTGGCAGCGAGTTGACAGCTTCCACGATGACGGCAAGTGTTGTTACGAAGAACAAGATGGGCGAAAGGTCAAGAAAGCGAAGTCTGACATACACAGTGGACGACCATTCCATAAATAGCCAGGGTCAGGCCTTTACTGTTGCCGGTGTTCCAAGACACACATTGTTGTTCTCCGGAACAAGTGGGAACGGCTTCGCAACAATGAGAAGAAGATCAGGACCTGCAGAACGGCTTTGATCACTACAAGTTTACCGGTGGTTCTGTTTTCATGCAGTCGGTCCTAGCCATTATGTTGGCGAGTTGCCCTTCCCTTCCACTCAGCCAGATTTCAGTCATTGCGCCACTTATTGTCGCGGCTTTTCTTTGGGACACCGGTAACATGGAAGGTGTTGACTTGAACAAGTTCAGTACGTCTTTCCCTTCTGAGACCTGGTTTCGAAACATCATGTTCCAGCATGCCGGTCGCACTCTTCTTGGACTTGGCAATGTTCTTCGTGGCAAGACTGTCTTTCTTGCCTGTGACAAAGGCAACAAGAAGGGTGTCGGACACTTTGTCAAGGTGGTGTCCTGGTTTGATACTGGTACAATGGAAGTTCGCCGTCAACTATTGGATATTGATGCAGCAGAAGGAACATCAGATGCTTGTGCAAAGGCCATTGCTTGTTCTTTGAAGAAACTTGGCGATGATGGATTTAAGTTCCAAGGACACTGCACTGACAATGGTGGAGGTGGTGTTCTCGATGGATTGTTCCGGTCTATGGATGATCTGAACCTGTGTCGCTCGAACTATCTTGTCGCTAACTGTTGCTTGCACAACTTCAGTTGGTCGTCAGGAATCCCATTGTCGAAGTACTCGGCGAGGGTGGATTGGACAAGAAGAATGCTATGCAAATGATCCACTGTGTTTACGATCTACAGAACAGCATGGAGAAGGAAGTGTGGCGACACATGTGGAAGAGGCGGCCAGATTTATGGAAGCCTATCGTACCACTCCTATGTTGGCGATACATGTGCTGATCAAGTCTTTGCCACGAAGTGGGAACGCGTCAAGACCTTCCGGGAGTTCTCTGGATTGGGCAACAAGGACTCAAGAGACTACTCCTTTCTGTACCGGCCCCAGTTCTTACAAGATGGTGGACAGTTGGGGAAGCGGCAAGGGTAACCTACTTGTGTTATCTACTGATTCTACGCGTAACCTAGACAGTCATCAACGTCCATGACACCAAGAGCAAGCAGCACAAGATTGCGTCCGGCCTACAGCCACTTCTACTGGAGGCAGAGCTGTACTCTGATTTGACACTGATGCATTGCTACCACTCCGTGTTCGTCAGTCCACACTTTGACTGGTTGCGAGCAGTGTTGATATGTCTGGCATTCCTGGCTTCCAAGCGCAACATCATTGGCAGGTACTATCTCATGCACAATGACTTGCAACACATGGAACGAAACGGCATTGCGTTTGATCCTGCGTTTGATGCTTTCGCGATTCCTTGGAACTCCTTCCAGAAGAAACACAGGTGGTGCAGAGGAACAAGGCCTCTGGCTTCTTCAAGATTGCCAAGGATGCACTGACCAATCACTTCCGACGATGGGCCAACAGGCGACTTCTACCAGCGGCACTTCTCTCTGAAGAACCAGCGGCAGTGGTGGTGGCTTATGTCATTCTTGGGAAGCCTTACCGTGTCACTCACCAGCAAGCCATCTGGAAGTCTACTGTGCATGGTAACCTTTGACTTGCAGCGGTTCATGATTGGTTGGTAAAGAAACGTCCAACGAACACGCAACCTCACAGTACACTGAGTACCACCCCTGTCACTCACGCGGCAACTATGGTCCTGGATGGTTATGACTTTCGAAACAAGAAGGAGAACAATGACAAGCATTCAAACAGTGGCTTCTCACCATGTACCTTCCCATTGCTTGCCACACCACTTCGTTGAGGCAGGTGTCAAAGAAGCGAAGCTTGTCTCGCAAACTGACCGCTCAGAGCAACTCGCTCTGCCATTGCCATCATCAGATCTGCTGATGTGCACAATGCAAACAACTTGAAGCCATTGGCTGACCTACCAAGTACTGATAGGATCCTTCATCTCATGAACAATGCAACAGCTCACAATACAAGCATGTGGTTTGGGCAAGACTCAGAAGGAAACATACAAAGGCAGATTGGATGACATCCAGAAGGTCTTAAGATAGAGCATTTCAGGGTGCAGAGACTGGAGGACCTCAAGCATGAAGCCATCAAGAAGGGAGCCATCAACAAGAAGGAAACCAGAGGCAGAGGAATGGTGGAGTGGACGATCTGACAACATCAATGGCCTCAAGAGGTATGGCAAGCTCAGGGCTGCCTACCACTCTGATGATGTCAAGCAAGAGTTGATCCACAGAGGTGTTGGCACTGAAGACCTCATTGCTCTGAGGACTTTCACCATGAAGAAGAACAAACTCAGGGAGCTGGAAGTGCTGAGGATCAAGGTTTTGCCAGAGAATCATGAGGAGAAGTCAATGGTGAATCCTCTGTTGGTGTTCAGACCCATTTCTGCAAGTAAGTTTGTCATTGAGTAGTCCTGTTTCGAATGGGCTCTCAATGACAAGGAGCCTTCCTTTGTGTCGCCACAGTCCAAATGCAACATTGCTAGGACCTTTACTAGTGTGTGCCATTTGGCAAGAAAAATTGAGCTTTCTCTCTGACCATGGCATCTATGCTACTACTTCAATTGGTGATAGCTGCGCATGCATGGTGGAGAGTTACAACTGTATGGTGTTCTATGTCAGTCTTAACATTCTACATAGCAACTGTTGCCATTATCTGCCATTGTCAGCATGTTTCTTTTATTTTGTTGTTCTTTTTGCCGCAGCCGTTGCTTTTTTCTGGTGTCAGACACGTCAGCGATTATGTACCAGGTCTACGCGCGCGGCGCGTAGAGGATTTCTGAGTACCAGAAAATCGATCAGTCTACGGGATCTGGGGGTCATAGAGTCAGTCTGAGTCTGACACAACACTGCAGCAACCGTACGATGGAAGGACCTTACCTACCCAAGCCACACCGCCATGGCTTCGAAGCCTGACGTACAACAGACCGTCACTCCACTTTAGTCGCCTTTTGACGAGCTGTCACTATTCAACCGCACTTCTGTTCACACGTCATTACTGCTCACCATTCCGGTATTCATGGCTTGCTTTGCATCATCGTGAGTGAGCTCTCAAGAGCGAGGGACCGAGGTGCCTCGTGCAAACATTGACAGGTCACCGCAAATATGCAGGGATGCCTGTGCCACCGGTAGTGCGGTGGTACCAGTATAGCAGCAGTTCTTGGCTAGCTAAGAACAAGCAACAGGCAGATACACTTGTGTAGACAGAAAGGACCCCGGAACTGTATAGTTTTACTGAACTTTTTAATTCTTTACCCCTACATGTACCGCTGCAGTGCAACGGATGGCTGTTCCAAGTCAGCTGCGCCGGTCTCATGCCATGCTAGCTAGCTGGAGTTCCTGCATGGTGCATTCTGCTTAGTACCGGCACTTCTAGCTAGCTATGCCGCGGGAGAGGGCGAAGCCCTACCGGTACTTTGTCTCCTCGCTGGAAGTTTGGGAAGTTGCTGTTGTGACCGCTGATGCTAATTGCATTTCGAAGGGATACTTTGCCATCGAAGCTCTTTGCAGGCGGGACAAGAACAACCATGACCTCGCTGACATGAAACTGACACGGACGCTCTTTGCCTCCTCCTGGCCTCCAATGGACAGAGTCCCTCTCTGTTCTTGCTCTGCTGTTTCGGT